ACACACACATGCACACGCAAAGATGGCCAAGTCATGCTTAAATTAGATTCTGCTAAGTCTTGATCAGTGCAAGTAATGAAGTTATCAGATGTATTCAATTTTGTACTAATCGAAGTCCTAATTACATAAAATACAGTAACTGCTTCCAGCCCAACGGAAAAATACCATATGAATTTGAATAATACAACCACTGGGGGGATTCATTAGTCACACTAATTGGGACCTGGCTGTGCTAATTAGGGAAATAACCTGTAATACCACAAAAACCTAAGGGAGAAATAATTATATGGTTGGGGAAATAACAAATCAATAATTAATTCAAATCATCTTAAACCCAGAGTTATAAATAAAACAGACACATAGAGAACTCTCAACTCAGGACAGCATAAATGCCATCTAAATGTTTAATATTAAAGAATGCACTTGCACATCTACATCTTCTCTGTGGAAAGAACCTAAGTGTGAATCTCCTCTCACAGAACACTAGTGATGGAAGACACCTCAGACACCATCTTGAGTCGCAGCACCCTCTTTTGCAGAGCCCAAGACTCAAGGAGGTAAAATGACCAACGGAGGCCTAGAGCAGGGTACCAGTAAGGTTAGTAGATCTAGAGGTTGAACCCAGTCATCTAACCTCAGGTCTTGGGCTCCTTCCACCCTATCACCTGTCACTGGGACCTTGGGCAGGGCTGTCACCAACCTCCAGTCTCTGTAGTCAGCTGAAAACAGGCATAACTACACCATCTCCACCTCCCAGGGCTGTCGAAATGACAGTCTTCCAAGAGCTTTTAAAGTATAAATAAGCCCCTACTCCAACATAAGGCCAGCCAGCAGTGGAAAGGGCTGTCCCTAGAACCAAGACAGACCTGGATTTACATGGACTAGTTGTGTGACCAAGAGCAGGTCAATCACTTTAGTCTCAGCATCCTCATCCGTACCTACCTCCCAGAATTCCAGTGAGGATAACCAGATATAACAAACATAAAAGTACTTTTTGACACTTAAAGAGCGGTATGAACACCAAGCATTGTTCTAAGAGAGAATGATCTGATGAATCAGAGCAAAACGTCTATAGAAACCTTCCTGAAAATGACAAGGTGAAGGACGGTACGGTATCATTCGTGGCATTTAGCTCCACAGTCTGCTTCCCCTCAGGACGATTTATTTGCGTCCAGCACATCAATTTAGGCTGAAATGGCTTTGGATTCACAAAACACAATCCAGACTTCCTCACACCCCTACCTGACTCTTGTTACAGGGTGACCCAACTAGGATGATGCTGCAATTTTGGAATGATTCCACAGTGGCGTCACAAAAGGAATTTCAAAACACTTAACAACTACCCAGCTTGTCCGAGGCGTCCAACAGCTGCAACAATGAGGCCAAGGCGTGGGGGAAGATGGGGCAAAGGCTGCCATTACAGCTTCTTTTCACAGGTCAAAAGCAGGTGGCCTTAACAGCCACACAGAGCCAGAAGTTAACTATATTATTACCTAACCTGTGGCACACTTGCTACCATAGAGCCCTACACAAATACACACATTTTCCAATGAGGGAACAGAAAGATCCTTGACCCTGAAGGAAAATTCAATAACAGCTACCATTATAAAATCACACATAGGATTTAACAAGGACAAGTCAAGTATATAAATAACTAGGGCAGCTAGGTGGCTCAGTGGATAGTGTCATGGTCTTGGAGTCAGGAAAACTCACCTTCCTGAGTTCGTATCTGGCCTCAGACACTTACTAGCTGTGTGACCCTGGGCAAGTCATTTAACTCTGTTTACCTCAGTTTTCTTGTCTATAAAATGAGCTGAAGAAGGAAATAAATGGCAAACCATTCCAGTATCTTTGTCAAGAAAACCCCAAATGGGGCCACAATAAGTCTGACACGACTGAAATAACTAAAAACACATTAACTATAATACAAGTTAGAATGTGTTTAGCACTCCTGGAAAGCAGTAATGGAGACTATGAGTGCTGTTAAGGCAAGGCGACATGAGATTAGATGCCACCAGTTAGAGAGAAACTCTCATGTCCCCCAAGTGTGCTGTCAGTCTAGTCTGAATTAGCCTAGATCGATAAACCTTGCAAAGAAGTGCAAAATTTAGAAAACTCCCTGTTCCTATCAAGAAAAGCTAGAGAATAAGATCAGTAGAGTCCACTCCTTGGCCTAAACAAGCTTTGGTTGATTGAACTCAAAAAACCATCACTAATTTGGAGCTTTCATTTACATTTGGACTATCACAGAGATCCACAAGGAACAAACCCCCTTGACCAAGCCCCACTTTCCAAGCGGTTAACACTGAAAAAGCAGGTATACTTTGGGCTTATTTTAACCATCTCCACCAGGATAACGAAAGGCAATACATTCTTGAGAAAGAATACTCTAATGGTTTTGAAAAACTCTGCTTTCTGGAAGACAAAGATGGAGTAATCAGGCAGAAAGTTATCAGGTAGAAAATACCCCACCCCTATCCCATCTCACTAGGCCCCCTCACACCTTTAGCTACACAGGCAAAGTGCTCATGTGCTCATGCTGGCAGGCAAAGAGCCCAGGTAAATTCAGCCTGTCCCTAAGAAAGATTATCATGGCTTTGCAGTTTACAATGAGTGGCTTCCACAAGAGCCCAAAAAGCTAATTAAGGTTACTACTGCTAGCAAACAAGTTAAGAATAAAAATCCCACAATGGTTTGCTTTTCCTAAAGGAAAACCAACTGCAAACACTGTCTTTTATTTGACAATTCGCACCAAGCCATTTAAGACCCCTCCTCCAAACACAATTTGCCCAAATCTCCCATTCTGCTACGTGTCTTCCTTCAAACAGGATGAGATGGGTCCTTATTACTCATCCAATTAATTTCCAGGTGGCATCTTTCCACACAAACCATCCCTCCTTCTTACCCTCTTTACTAACAACTTCAGAGCTCGGTCACTGACTTTAAAGAATACACTTCACTACCCAAGAGGTTCTGAGAAGCCAGCCCTTTCCAACCAATTTCCAGCCTCTGAAGCTGTTTAATTGACTGAAAACCTCAACCACCCATCCTCTCAACTTTCGATATGACTACAGGTTAATAACAATTGTATGGAGAGGGGAAAAGTCGGTGGGAAGGTGGGAGGAAAGGAACTCAAGAGTCCAAAGAGGCCAAGCCAAGGCATACTCAAGACCAGAGGCCACAGGAAGGATTGGGGCAACAGGCTGTAGCTGCTTCTGGAAACCTGTCCCTGCTGAGGAAAAGCCAGAAGAGGGCTGAACTTTGCAGAAAGGAAAGGATGATCCCTTTTCTTGGAGCTCTGAGTAGTCTTTTGGGGATAAGGGGAAGGACAAAGGAGAAATCAACTTTAAAAATGGAATAGGTGCTGCTAGTACCAGGGACGAAGAGACCCAGGAGCTATTGGTCTAGGGGACCCCATAGGAATGAAGGGGTCAAGGGAGTGAAATGCATCCAGAGTGGAAGAGAAGCTCCCACTAACCCAGGTGCTCTGAGCAGGAAGACACTCCCTACAATTGAAATGGATTAAAAGACCCAGTGGGCATGTGACACTAACTCTTGCTAGAAAAGGAGGTAAAGGAAAGAGGGTGTGATTAGAATGGATTAGAAAATCCAAGTAGTAACTGAGCTGCAAAGCCCCAATGTGCTCAGAGAAATGGAATTCCATGTTGAGGTCTCTGAAAAAGGAGGGAAAGAAGGGGAAGAAAAAGAGGAAGATGAAACTGGAACGGATTAGAAGTTCCCAGGAAGCACGCTACCAAAAAGCCCGGTCAGGGACTAGAGGAATTCAGTGCTGAGCCCTCTCACAAAAAAAAAAAAAGGGAAAGAAGATGCAACTAGAATGTATTAGAACCTCCCCATAACCAGATGGAAAAAAAGACAAACAAACAAAAGCCCCACCAACAAGCTCTGGAGAGTAGGGGTCCAGTTCAGAACACTGCCCAGGAGAGAAGGAGGGAGAAAAAAAAGTGGAAGATAAATGTAACTAGAAAAGATCAGGAGCTGGCAATAAGTAAGCTGCTGAGATCAGGTACCGAGCATTCCTCTGAAAAAGGGGAAAAAAGGATGAAACGGAAAGCTCCAGGCTTAATTCAGCTGTTGACCAACCCCTGGGAGAAAAAGGAAGAGCACCCAGCCGGAGATAATCACAAAGCAATAAAGCTAAGGTGGGAAGAAAAGTCAGAGGTCCCGGAATCCAAATCCCTCACTTTACAGATAGGGAGCCGTGTTAAGAAGGACTTAAGACGTGTCAGTCACAGACCCCTCTGACAAGGGTCTGCCAGAGAATGAGAGACCCCAGGCCTGGCCCGAGTCCCGCGCTCTCAGGGGCTCAGAGCTCAGGGAGCCTGGGCTGGGGGAGGCAGAAAGGGAGGAGGGAGCCGGAAGAGGAGCGATCCGGACTCGAGAGATCCCTCGGGCTCTGAGCACCGGCTGGTCCCGAGAAAAAAGGGGGAAGAGAACGGACCAGGGGCCCTCGGGGGCTCCCGGTGCCACGGAGCCAGGCGCTGCCAAGGGAAAAATGGGGGGGGGCGTGGAATAAATCTCTTCGCTTGGAGGGAGATCCTGTGCGTACCACCACCAGGGTCAGGAAGCCAGGGCCGGAGCCCGGGGTCCAATGCCAAAGCTCCCTGGGACATGGGGGAGGGGCTGGGGTGTCAGGGGGCTGGCCCCTGGGAAGGATGACCCGAGCCCAAGGCGAGTGGAGAAGGGGGATAGATGAGCGGCCACCGCCGGGGTCCGGGCCAGACAGACCCCCATTCCTCCCCCCAGGGGCCGGGCCGTCCCTCCTCTTCCCCCCCCCCGCCGTCCAGGCCGTCCCTCCCCACTGCCCCAGGGTCTGGGCCGCGCCGCGCCTCCCCACTCCCCCCAAAGGCCGGACCGCGCCGTGCCTCCCCAGTCCCCCCAAAGTCCGGGCCGCGCCGTGCCTCCCCACTGCCCCAAGGTCCGTCCGGGCGGTCCTTCCCCCAGCTTCGGCCCCGGCCCGCCGCCCCCGGCGCTCGCACCCTGGCTCTGCAGGATCTCGTGCTTGAGACCGCCCGTGTAGTCGATAAGCTCCTCCAGGCCGCGCTCGCACAGCTGCCCGTAGCCCGAGAACTTGTGCAGCACCTTCTCCAGCTCCCGCTCCACCGTCACGCACTGATCCATGCCTGGCCGTCCCGAGGCCGCGTCCCCGTCCTCGTCCCCCCGGCCCGGGAGCTCGCTCCGGGTCCTCGGCGTGTCCCGCGCGGCGGCTCGGGCGGCTGAAGCGGCGGCTCGGGCGGCTCAGCGGCGGCGGCGGCGCTGGCGGTACCCCGGGCTGCCCACGTCCCCCGGCTCCATGATGCCCCGGCCCCGGCTCGCCCCTCGCCCGCTGCCGCTGCGCCTGCGGCCGCCGCCGATTGTTTTTGTTTTCACAGGAACCGACCGATGACCTGGTTCTCTCTCCCGGGCCGCACCAAGCGCCGCCGGCCCGAGGGGGAGGGCGGGGAGGGAGCGCCGAGCCGCGGGCCGTACCAAGCGGGGCGTCCGAGAAAAAGAGAGGGGGGCCGGAGAGCCGAGCGAGCGCGCGGCCCGGGTCTCTTCTCAGCGCTGAGCGCGGGGCCGGCCGCGCGCAGCCGCGGTTAAAGCGTGGGCAGTACCACGGGAGGCGGGCGAGGGGGGGAGCGGGGAGAAACCACCGGACACCCCCGCGCCCGCCAGGCCAAAGGACGTGCGTGAAAGGAGAGGGGGAGGCTCCGAAGCAGCCCGAATCTTAGTGGGAAACGGCCTCTAACCCCTCCCCCGGGGACGGCCTGAAAACGAGCCTATGGCCGGGCGGCTAGAGAGGAGGCCCTACGTCATGAGAGAATCTCCTCCAATGCTGAACCGCAACATCAAACTTCCCCCAATCCAAGTTGAGCAGGCCAAACCAACAGACTCGCTGTCGGAGGGGGGAATTTATCCCGGGAAGGCCAAAGAAAGACCGTAGCCTAAGGAAGCCCGCGCCCCACTTCCCTGCTTCTTTCCTATCCCCGACCTCCCCAGGGCCAGGGCAGGAGTGGCCGAGCTGACCAGGCCCATTGGTGGCAGAGACTCGGCCGGCTTTATAAGACCCTGCCAACTGTCCCGGGATGGGAAGGGACAATTCGAGACCAGCTCCCCGAAGTCAATGGCTTTTATTAGTCATTATGATTAATTAGTGACCTTAGAACACTGTTGGATCTGCGGGCGGGGGAAGGACGGGCGAGGACGGGGAGGGGGGAGGAGTTCAAGGAGGCAGGAAGGGCGCAGGCGCTGGTGCAGACGAGAGGCGGGGCCGAGCGGGCGCGTGGCTCCCGCACGTGCGGCGGAGGGAGGGCGGGGCTACTGTGGTTTGCATGTGTATGTGTGTTTGTATTTATCCGAGGAGCGGGAGGGGGAGGGGAGGAGCGGATCCCTTAGACCAGACTCAGCTGCAACTGCTGGAGCAAGGAAAAAGGGGTCCTGGCTTTTACCGGTGCAGACCTTCCGCCCCTCCATTCACGGGACGTGCCCCTTTTTCTTCTGTACTTTTGCACGAGCTGTGCCCTCGCTTGGCCAGTTCAGTGCTCTTGCTTATAAACAATTGGTCGCATTCTCCAAAATGACTTTTTCAATCCTTCAGTTTCCGGGGGGAAAAAAATTGTATCCCTTCCCATCCTCCTAGTAACGAGAGCAGTGCACCTGGAGTCAGGAGGGCCTGAGTTCAAATGCATTCTCACTAGGTGTGTGACCCTGGGCTAGTCACTTAACCTTGGCCTCAGTTTCCTCATCTTTAAAATGGAGATAATATCCCCAGGGTTGTTTTGAGGATCAAATGAGATCATATTTGTAAAGCGCTATATAAATGCTATGACGATTAGCTATCGTAGGCTTTCTTACACTCTGAAGCCCTTTTCGCCTCCTTTGGTATCCCGCCCCCCCCCCCCATCTTTTGGCGTCCACTGGTCAGATATGTCTAAGTCATATCTTGGGGACTATGAAAGAGCGGCCTTCCTCTGACTCCACTTCACTCAAACACTCAAATGCTATCTTTATCCTCTCCTGGCTTTCACCATCAACACTCTCAAACAATAGGTCTGTACCTGCTTCCTCTGTGTCCTCACCACTGCTTTCCTCAGGGGCTAGGTCAGGAAGTCTGGCTTCTCCGCCATCCCCTATTCCGGCCCAGGGACTCGAAGGGCTCCAGGGCACTCTTTGCCAAGTCCGGTGTCTCAGTCCCCTTAGTTTCCAGTGTCCTTGACCTTGTCTGCTGCATTTGGCATTGGTGACCCCGAGCTCCGCATGTGGACCTCCTCCCTTGGATCACGACTCCAGTGCCTTTTTTTCTTCTTCCCTTTTCTGCATTTTTTGCCGGCTCCATTTCCTCCTCCCACTTCTTACCTGGGTGTTTGCCAAAGTTCGGACCTTCCATCTCTGCTCTTTTCTGGGAGAACTCATCCTTTCTCACAGCTTTAGCCATCGTCTATGTAGAAAATTCCCAAATTTGTGTCTCTGACCCAGACCTTTTTCTGCCAAGTGCCTAACTAAATATCTCCTTTAAAATAATTCATTGTTAACTCAATATTTTAAAAATAAATGTTAAAAATTGGTTTGACATGTAATTGGGGAAAAATAAAATACTAAATAAAAATTTTTGAAAAGAATAATCCATTGTTAACCTTGATGTTAACCTAACCAAAACAACATAGCATCTTTGTCAAAAACCCACTCTCCTTGGCTTCCCTGTTTCTCTCAGTAGTAGAAAGGGTCTTTTTTAATAGTTGTTTTCCTGACCCCCATAAGTCACCAAATCTTGCTGCTTCTCCCTTTTCATTTTCTCGTCCATCTTTCTCTTTTGGTTTGTACTGTGATCACCCCAGTTAGGACTTTATCACTTGTAATATTTCTTAAATCGTTTTGCAAGCTGCTCAGAAAAGCCTAAAGACCTCAAGAGTAGCAGAATCCCCCTGCTTCCAGCACAGCCCAAAGAGCCATCAACCAGGGAGATATGACCTGACATCTGCTTTTACAATTGTTGCAGACTCCTAGGAGACCACAGATACAAAACACATGGAAAAGAAAGTCTTTGACATTCCCCTGTGGTTCAACATCAGAAATGGATACGGTTTCATGAATGGAAACAACATGAAAGAAGAAGAATCACCATCTGCTTGACTGCTGGACCCAAGGACTTTTCCAGCTGTCTTGTACCTAAAATCTCCCAGAAGTGTTATCTCCTCCATTAGAATGGGAGCTCCTTGAGGGCAAGGACCATCTTGCTTTTCTGTTTGTATCCCCAGGATTTAGTACAGTGTTTTTTCCTTCCTTCTTTATAACTTTCTTCACCGTTCCTACCTTTCTTAACTCATGAAATCTCACTGATTCCCTCCCTAGTCTACCATCCCAAATTTTTCTCCCATGACTTCCCAGCACAAAACAATATCATTGTCCCCTCGACATGCCTTACACATTTTCCCTGCTGTGTCTGTTCTGCCAGGAACGTCTTCCCTTTCCTCTCCATCTATCCAAATTCCGGCCTGTTCTAAGCCCAGAACATACTGGCCCATTCTGCCCTCTGCTCCACAGGTCCCAGAGTCACTGAAAGCTTCAGTGGGTGGAGAACTAGAGAAATCAGAATTTTACCAAGATTGGGAAATGCTGTTTTAAAGGAAGAGTCTTTTTGAAATATTAAGTAATCGATCTTCATGCATCCTCTCCTTCACTTTGCATTTAATCAGTTATGAATGCAATCAGTCTTGGAATAAAAAAGGGAAAGCAAGGTGAAAGGGGAAAGTCCAATTTCACCTTATAGGCTCCTGAAGAACACCGTAGAGAGAGCTAATGAGGAAAACCTTCTTGATCGAAAGAATATAAGATAAGAAAGACCCGGCTTCAAAACCTGCCTCAGACACCTGCCCTGTAGAACTAGACAAGTCACATAATTGAAGTCAAGTCAGTTCTTCATTAATAAAATGAGGGGGTGGGCTAGATGGCCACTCAAGCTTCTTCTGACTCTCAATCTATGATCCTACAGGGTTTGGGGGGGGGTTTTTTTAGTCATTTTGCAGTTCTATCCAATTCTTCATGACCACATTTGGGGTTTTCTTGGCAAAGATACTACAGTGGTTTGCCATTCTTTCTCCAGTGAGGATCTTATGACTTTTATGTGAAAGCAAGATCCTGTGAGAGTGAGTCTGGCCATTCTTAAAGTTCAGAAATCTTGACTTCAACATATAAATGCCATTAAGGGCAAAGGTCTAACTATCAGGACCCCTTTCTTTGAAAGCCTGCAAACCTTTAATTGAAGAGCGCAGGTTAATTTTAGTATTTCATCATGAACTTGGGGAGCATAGACTTTTGAAAAAGACAGCCTCTCTTTTAAGGATATTGTTAGTTCTGTGGGGGGAAAATTGTTTTAGTACCATCCATAGGGTTTGGAGGGGTGGAGTGCAAAATGCTTGTTTTTGGGTTGTGGAAAGTCAATGAAAAGAGGTTGAAGCCACTGAACAGTTGGTGGTTATGGGGTGCTTGGGTGTCTGTACTCAGACCCCAATTCCAAGACCATATTTCTCCCTAGCCTCAAAACACTATCCCTGACAGTTTTCTCCCCAGCCCAAAGACCCTATCTCTGGCAATAATTCAGGAGTGGGCTCAGTAAGGTAAACCATCTCACTGTCTCTCCCTGTTACAAGAACAAGCTGACCTCAGTAAAATTTTCCTTGTGTGGACGAGGCTATCTTGTATCAACAAAACTATCATGTACTGATTGCCACAGTTATCATATATGATCCAGAGGTGGAGACATGGACATCAACTCCCAAAGCTATCTTGTTACAGACATAACAGACCCAAAATACACCCCTACACCCCTTAGGAACCCTCTCCTCCCACTCCCCCAGTTTCCAGTAGTGAATGACCAAAGTTGTATGTTATCACCTAATTAGCATACTTGCTACATAATCCACTACTTTTCCTATATAAGCTCTAGCATCCTTCCTGTTGGTTGCAGAATCCCTTAAGGAGCTCTGCCCGCCATGTTAGCATTATAATAAGCCTTTGCCCACTTGACTTGAAGAATGCTTGAGTCCATGAATTCATTCCCTATGGCCCTGTTCTGTACTTCAGTCTTTGAGGGGTCCCTGAACCTCTGAAACCACATCAGTGGCATTGAGCAAGTTCCTTTACTCCTTCTCTGAGCCCCAATGTCTTCATGTTCGGGTGGGGATCATAGGATCATAACCTGAAGCCTAAAAGGGACCACAGAGCTCATCTCATCCAGTTCTCTCC